ATGGGTTGAAGGAGCCTACAGCCTCATGAGATATGATCCGTAGGAACTGCTCAAATTGGCTACAGTAATCACCAATGCTGTGCCGCATCCCTGGAGGGACAAAGAGGGGAGTTCGGCCTTCTTTCTGATGCAGATCTTCTCCGACGGAGGAAAAGGGGGCCTCTCTTTTCTCTGGTTCCTCCTCTGTTGCCAGACTTTCATCCAGTGAGCTGAGAACACACAAGAAGGATGGAGGCATCCAAGTGTAAGCAAGGGTGAGCTGTTCCTGTACCACGAGGGTTTGTCCCCTCATACTGAACAAAACTCAGCCTCCTACCATCACTGCCCACTTCTCTTCCAATCACACTAATCCTCAACACTGCAGGTGCTCCTGATCCAGGAGCAGGAGGAAATAAAACTCCCACTAAGTGTCAGCACAACTCATATATGCCAGCGTGAACGCCAGCTAAATGCTGCCAGGTGCTGGAGGCTTCCTTACAATGCAAGTGTTCAATGCCCACCACAGAACCACTGTCTTACTGACGCCTCAGAGTCTGCAAGAACTCATTTGCTCCAAACAATTTCTGTTGGAACTAAAGGGATGAAGAATTTAACTATACTCAGTGCCACCAACTAGAAAAAAAATCACAATGTACTGCCACTTACTTGGCATTGCAGGGCCTCTCTAACAAGATTTTCACAGCTGGATCCTTGGGAGTTACTGTCTTAGTGATCTTGATTGGATGGGGAGCCAAAGGTCTTTCGCTTACTGCTGGGTTGTTCTGGTCTAGAAAGGACAGGCATAAAATGACCGATGTCAAAAATATGTCCCCCTTAAGAGTGAGGTAGTAGCTAATGAACTGTGAGGAAGTCACAGGCATCTTCCTCACACACTAAGACACAGGCCGGGTTTGGTGCAGAGTGGCTTCAAACACAAGGCGAATTTTTAAGTTATAGAGAAACCAAGCATCAGTCTTCAGAAACAAGCACTGCTCCCTAGCTCCAGACGAGACTCCTTGCCCGGTCTGTGAAAGGCCTCAGGAGACACTATTTCACTGGGACCCAGCTGCCAGTCAAGGAGTCTGAAGTCATGAAGTTTGTTTTTTAACCTTTAAATGCTTTGATTACTGAAGAACAAGAAAGCCACTCAGACCTGAACACTTAATTAATGGATCTAACTTGCCTCTGGACACTTGCAAAAAATCTGCATGAGAATCAAAACATTAATTTATTAACTACAACCTGCAGACCTGAGAGCTCTCCTGAGTTTCAGATGATTTCAAATTTTACATGTCTTTCAAGTGGAAGAAAGAAACCCGTCACTCAAGTAAAGTTGTTCAGGCAAGATACTTTCTCTGATGCCCATCCATGATCGTGAATGCACACTGTCAGGAACAAACACTGCCAAGGTCAGCTTTTGTAAGAATGTTACCACTACTGAGTACAATCAATCTTCAGTTACTCACAGAGCTCAGAGAAAAGGACTAGACACCACATCACCCTAAGATCACTCTAAGTCTGGTTCTGTAATGTACCTGAGCCCAAAAGCATGTTGCCTAGATTCGTACAGTGATCTCATGAAGTTGGAATTACCAGTGTCTAACACTCACTTCAGTTCTTAGTGTTCTAAAAAGATCTTTAAAAAAATACAATTATGTGTATGTCTGTGTGGGTGTGTGCAAAGAACCTAACTTTGTGCTCCATGGCCAAACCATCAGTAAAACACATTCCCTTCCTCTGCCTCCAACTCAAAAAATGGTAAAATGCCCATTGTCTGACTACACAATCATTTGAAGGGTCCTTGCTTACCTTCAGCAGCCATAATAGGGGCATGACTGACTGACAAATTCTCTAGGCCTTAATGAACCTGGGGCTTAGTTGGGAAAGTTAAGACACCTTGACAAACAGCTGTAGCCTGCTAGAACAGGCTGTGGGAGTTCACAAGCAAGAGCTGGGCAAAGGAGAGAACTCTACATTACGGGTTGAGTATCTCTAATTACTTGGGACCAGAAATGTTTCAGATGTGCGAGTTGTTCAGATCTGGGGATATGTGTACAAGCTTCACTGAATGAGCATCTCGAATTGGAAGTCCAGTACTTTAAGACTCTGGAAGCACACTGCATCTCAGCATTTTTGTTTATGGTTGTTTAGCCTGTATAAGAGAAAGTACTGTACAGGTAGGACCACATGAGCCAAACCCAGAAGAACAATTCAACTGCTAGCTCATGAGGTAGAAGCCAGAGTTTGTCACCATGAGTAACAACAAAATGCACAAAACCTGCAGAAAACACAGAAAGAGTACATGCATGTTCTGTTAGATGGCCCATCTTTCAAAATTTAACATGGAGAATACTTGTTAGAAAACAATGACACAATTTTGTACCTTGAAATAATTCCATGTGATATAAACTGTTATCAAGCATCTACCTGCAACTTCCTACATATTTCTAGGCAAATATAATATGCACTGAATTTAAGTTCTATTAGATGTAATGCTCAACCACATCTACTCTTTCATGAGGAAGACAAACATGAGACAAGCAGAATTTGATTAACGCTTCCCAATCAAACTGTGACAGCAGCCTAGCAATTGCATCCACAATGTAAATGTATGAGTTTGACAAGTGGAAGAGAAAAGCAAGTCTTTCTTCAGATGGAGCTAGAAGAAGTGAATATCATCAGCCTTTTCCTCAAACCACAAACTTTTATCTATGATAGACCATAATGCTAAACATTAAAGCTAAAACAAACAAACAAACCATAAAGCTTCTAGAAGAAAACAGCATCCCAGCATCCTCTCACCTCAGTGAGGCAAAATTTCCCTAGGCCACAAAAAAAAAAAAAAAAGATATTCAAAGTTGATTGAGGTTTTATCAGAATTAAAACTTTAACATCATTGAGAGAGGAAGTAGTTAAGCTACACACAGGAAACACATACCTCCAACACATCCACTTGAGTGCTGGCTGCCACCAAGTGGTGGTGTGGGAGTTGGTGGGGGTGGGGTTGGAAGTAACCACTGATACATACAGAGGGTTATTTTGGGTGTGTGAAAATAAATGTTTTATAATTGAGAAAGGAGCAATGAGCACCAGTCAGACAACTATGTGAACATAGCATTACTTTAAAAAAACAAAAAGGCAGTGCTAAGAAGAGAGCTCAGAGGTACAGTGTCTGCTGAGCATAAGCAAAGTCCTAGGTTCAATCCTCAGCACTGAAAAATACCAAAACAAAAACAAAAACAAAAAACAAAACAAACCAACCCAAAACATACATTTGACAAGAACTTATGCCTATAACATACATATGATCTGTATAATTAAAAAATAAAAGGGCAACCCAACTAAAAAGCAGACAAAAAGATTTTGGATGTCTCATAAAGAATTATACACCATTGGCTACTAATCACTTGAAAAGGTTCAAAGTATTATTCATCAAGAAAGAAACTGCCAGGCGGTGGTGGCAAACATCTTTAATTCCATCACTGGGGAGGCAAAGACAAGTAGATCTCTGAGTTCAAGGCCAGCCTGGTCACAAAGCAAGTTCCATGATAGCCAGGGATGTTACACAGAGAAACATGTCTCAAACAAACAAACAAACAAACAACACCCCCCCACACACACAATGGAAGGAAGTAAAGAAGGAAGTGAAAGAGAAATTGAGGAGCTGGAGAGATGATGGCTCGGTAGTTAAGAGCATAAACTGCTCTTGCAGAGAACCTGAGTTCAGTTCCCAGCACATCTGGCAGTTCCCAACCACTTGCAGATCTAGCTCTAGAGGGAAATCCAATACCTTTGTGTGCTCCCATCTCCCACCCCTGAAGGCACACACCCATAACTAAAAATAATAATAAAGCTTAAAAGATAGTAGCAGAAGGTGGAACCGAAATACCATGAGACACCAATCCCCTGCCAGATACATTACGAGGACACAATGGAAAAGACTGACAGTGTGGAGGCAAGCAAGGGCACTCAATGGAGACAGGAGCGGGCACGCCGGCCTCCTTGGCAACAGTCTGGCAGGTGTTTATAAAGCTTGATACACCTAGCACATGACCTGGCAAGTCTACTTCTTAGGTATTTATCCAAGAGAAATAAAAACTGATGGCCTACCAGAGATTACATATTAATATGCTTACAGCAGATTTCTTAGAGACAAGGTCTGTGTGTAAGCAAGGCTAGCCTGGGATTCATATGTCAGCCAGGATAGAACTCTCTCTCTCTCTCTTTTTTTTTTTTAAAGATTTATTTATTTATTATGTATACAGTGTTCTGTCTGCATGTATGACTGCAGGTCAGAGGGGGCACCAGATCTCATTACAGATGGTTGTGAGCCACCATGTGGTTGCTGGGAATTGAACTCGGGACCTCTGGAAGAGCAGTCAGTGTTCTTAACCTCTGAGCCATCTCTCCAACCCCAGGATAGAACTCTTGATCTTCCTGCCTCAGCTTCAGATGACAGGAATCTGTCACCACACTTGCTTTTAGATTCATTATTTGCTTTTTAAAAATAAATTTTTAGATGTATTTACTTTTACTTTATGTAAGTGTTTGCCCATCCACTTGTGTGTACATTGTGTGCCCGTGGCCTCAGTGGCCAGAAGAGAGATCCAGATCCCCAGGAACTGGAGTTACAGCCTACTGTCAGCCATCATGTGGGTGTTGGGAACTGAATGAACCCAGGTATTCTTCAAGAGCAACAATGCTCTTAACCACTGAGCCATCTCTCCAGCGCCTTAGCTTTATCTGAATAGTCCCAAACTAGAAAACAACAAATACAGATCCACCAGCAAACACGCAAATTAGATGTGGTATGTACATTCCAAGGAGTACTATTCAGGAAAAAAGAGGGAGGGGAATAAGGAGGGGAAGAGAGAGGGCTAACTAGTACGGTTAATTGGACCCCAAGATGTTTACAATCAATAGTTGGGAGTCTGTGTTACCTCCATTGCAGAGGGGACTTGAAGATCATGAGGTGGGTGGGGAGAGTAATCTGTATATGTGATTGTAAGTATCTACAACAGGCAAAGGCAGGCCTGACTACAGGAGGAAAGGCGGCTTGATCATAGAAACAGACTCTGGATAACAAGGCCATGACTGGGGAATGAATGGAGGCAGCCGTACAAACTGGGAGAATTGCACGGAATAGACCCTCATCTGGAGCATCCAGAGGAACAGCACCTTCACTTCTTTTAGGACTCATCTCCAGCCTTATGACCTCTCCAGCTATAAGAGAATAAATCTGTGTTCTGATTCAGTAATTTGTGGGTGAAGAGTGTTCTAAGCTTCTATTTTCAATAGAAAATAAGCAACAGTAGACTATAACATGCTATGTTGACTGGAAGGATCTAGACAAAAACACATTCTCCAGCAAGAGGTTGTACTTACTCGAACCTCTTTATTAGTCAACATGGCTGAAAAGCACAGTGTTGCCTAAAGGTAGGGCACTGACCGGGAAGGAGATAGGGGAAGTTTCTGCATGACCGTGTGTGCTACATCTAGACAGGAGTTTGGGTAAGAAACAGATTTGTCAAAACTCCTCAAATGATGTGGTTAAGATCTGTGTGTTACATGCATTTTTTTTCTAGTTAGTAAATGTGTGTGTGTGTGTGTGTGTGTGTGTGTGTGTGTGTGTGTGTGTGTG